ATTTCAATTTCGCTGCTTGTAATTGGTCTGTTTAGGTGTTCTATTTCTTCTTTATCTAGCTTTGGGTGATTGTAGAGTTGTAGGAATTTGTCCATCTCCTCTAGATTGTTGAACTTGTTTCCATATAACTGTTCATAGTAGTTACTGATTATTCTTTTGATTTCTGCTGTGTCCGTTGTGATTTCTCCTCTTTCATTTATGATTCTGTATATTTGTGCTTTCTCCCTTTTTTCCTTTGTGAGCCTGGCTAGGGGTTTGTCTATTTTATTTATTTTTTCAAAGAACCAGCTCTTGGTTTCATTGATCTTTTGGATTGTTTTTTTAGTTTCAATTTCATTTATTTCTGCTTTGGTTTTTATTATTTCTTTTCTTCTACTGGTTCTGGGGTTTTTTTGTTGTTCTTTTTCTAGATCTTTGAGCTTCGAGATTAGGTTGTTTCTTTGAGTTCTTTCTTGTTTTTTGATGTGAGCTTCTATTGCTATATATTTTCCTCTTATTACTGCTTTTGCTGCATCCCATACATTTAGGATATTGGTGTCCTCCTTGTCATTCAATTCAAAGAATTTTTTAATTTCTTCTTTGATCTCCTCGTTAGTCCAGTGGTCTTCCAGTAGTGTGGCTTTTAATCTCCATGAGGTAGGATAGTTCCTTGCCTTCTTTTTATGATTTATTTCTAGTTTGATGCCTTCGTGGTCAGAAAAGATGGTTGGTATGATTTCAATCTTGGTGTATCTGTTGATGTTTGTCTTGTGCCCCAGTATGTGATCGATCCTGGAGAATGATCCGTGTGCGCTTGAGAAAAATGTGTACTCCGTTTTTTTTGGGTTTAGTGTTCTATAGATGTCTGTTAAGCCCAAATGCTCTAGGTCCTTATTTAGAGCTTTAGTTTCTTTACTTATTTTTTGTCTTGTTGATCTATCCATTGTTGATAGTGGTGTGTTGAAGTCTCCCACTACATATGTGTTTTCTCTGATGTCTGTTTTCAGAGAGGACAACAGTTGTCTGATATATTTTGGTGCTCTTTCGTTTGGTGAGTATATGTTAATGAGTGTTATTTCTTCTTGAAGTATTGTCCCCTTAATCATAATGTAGTGACCATTGGGGTCTCTTTTTATTTTTTTGAGTTTGAAGTCTGTTTTATCTGATATAAGTATAGCTGTTCCTGCTTTCTTTTTTGGCCCATTTGCTTGTAGGATTGTTTTCCATCCTTTGACTTTGAGCCTATTTTTATCTTTTGTAGCTAAATGTGTTTCCTGGAGACAGCAAAAGGTTGGGTTTTGTTTCTTAATCCAGGCTGCAACTCTGTGTCTTTTTATTGAAGAGTTTAGTCCATTTACATTTAGAGTTAATATTGATATGTTAGCATCTGTATTTGCCATTATGTTTGTCTTTCCTTTGATTTTATTTATTTATTCTTTTAATAACTTTTTTTTTTTTTTTTGGTCTTCTTTCGTTGTTATTCGTCCCTCTGAGGTTCTGGCTTTAGGATTCCTTGTAGTATTTTTTGGAGTGGGGGTTTAGTCGCAATGAAATTCCGGAGTTTCTCTTTGTCTGGGAAGGTCCATATTCTTTCTTCATGGAGGAAAGAGAGCTTTGCGGGATAGAGTATTCTTGGTTGGCATCTGTTTTCTTGGAGTCTGTTGACTATGTCCCTCCACTCTCTCCTTGCCCGTAGTGTTTCTTCAGAGAAGTCTGATGTCAGCCTGATTGGTTTTCCTTTGAATGTTATCTGTTTCTTCCCTCTTGTCAGCTTCATTATTTTTTCCTTGTCCTGGATTCTTGGGAGCTTTACTATTATGTGTCTTGCTGTGTTTTTCCTTTCGTCGTGGAAGTTTGGTGTTCTTCTTGCTTCTTGTATATCAATTTTCAGCTCCTTCTTCTCATTTGGGAAGTTCTCTTCAATTATATCCATGAATATTTTCTCTGTTCCTACATCTCTCTCCTCTCCTTCTGGAATTCCTATAACTCTTATATTTCCTTTCCTCATGGAGTCAGATAGTTCCCGAAGTCTTTCTTCATTCTTTTTCCTTCGTACTTCTCTTTCCTTTTCTGTTTTGGTTCTTTTTATTTCTGTGTCTTCAAGATTACTTATTCGTTCTTCCATTTCATCTATTCTGCTTTCATTGCTTTTCCCAGAGTTCTTTAGTTCCTCCATTAATTCTTTGATCTCCTGCATTTCTCTTACTTCCCTCTTTAGGGACTCAATTTCCTTCTTCTGATCTATTACTTTTTTAATCATGGCAATTTTAAATTCTCTTTCTGGAAGGCTCAGAAGTTCTTCCAAGTTGCTGTCGTTGCAATCTGGGGAGTGGTTTTCTTTTTGTGGTGTGCTTCTTTCCTGAGGAGTTTTTAGGTTGCGTGTGGTTCTTCTACTCCCTACTGTCTGTTTTCTAATTTGTCGTATGCGTTGGGACACTGTGTTGCTCGGACTGACTGACATCTTGGGTGAACTTCTCCGCTCCCCTCTGGCTCTTCCAGGAGCCATCTCTGTCTTCTGGGGGAGCTTTCTGCTGGTTTTAGGCAGTTTTTACTGAAGAAATGTCCCTGTTCTCAAATGGCGAAGCGGGATGCAGTCCCTGCGCCTCCGGTTTCAGGCACACTCTTCTGCGCACCCGGTCTGCCCCGGACGTGGGTGCCTGCTCCCTCTGTGGGCTCAGACTGCTGGTCGGAAGGGGCCTGGCATGGAATAACTTCCCGGCTGGCCACTGGGTCCTCCAGAAACCTTCTGCCCTTTTCAAGCAGTCTTAAGAAATGTCCTGTTTTATAGGGTGTTAGTGACTTTTTTTTTCCTGGTCGCTAGGTGGCGCCAGAGATCTCTCCTATTGTCCTTGGGGGGCTGTTTTTCGCCTCCCCCCACCCCGTGGGACAGAGAACAGAGCGGGAATGGTAGGGTACACCTCAACAGCTTTGGGGTGCTGTGTCTGCCTTGTGCCCCACCGTCGTGGAGAAACCACGCCCCGAATTTTCGTGCCCCGGGTCTCAGTTCAAAGCCCTCAGTTCCAGGACGCGGGCTGTAGCCCAGTTCAGTGGCACGGGAATGGCGCCTTTTGCACAGCTCCCGTGCCTGGGCGCCTGGTTCCTGCTCACTCAGGGAGGGACCTTCACCTCAGTGAGGACCTCCGCGTCTCCCCGCAAGCCTAGGTCGTCTCCCTGCAAGCCTAGGTCGCAGGCGCGGGGACCTGGGCAGCCGCGATCCAGGTCTGCACTTGCTTTTCAAGCTCCCCGAGCGCGCCGCGTTTCCGCGCCAGCTTACCGGCAGCCCGGGCTGTGTGCGCGTCTCCCGGGGTCTTTGTTCTTCTCTAATGGCGCCCGGAGCCGTTCGCTCACCGCCGCGGCGGATCCTGCAGGGTTCGCCTCAGCTCCCGTTCACGGGGTGTGGTGGCTGCAATAGTTCCTTTCCACTCCCAGTCCCGCTTGCTGCGTCGTTTGTTCTTGTGGGCCGTTTTGGTTTGTTGTTTCCTCCTCTCTGCCGGTCGGAGAGTGCCGCCTCTGTGGGCGGGGGAGGGGAGCAGGGTTCTGCGCTTCCCTCCCTTCTGGTCCTCTTTTATGGCAACTTTCTTCTTCGGGCAGTTCGCTGGCGTCACCCGTTTATCTTCCGTGTCCCACTTCTCACTGGGACCTGCCGCTTTTCCTCCCTATTAACTTTTTTTAATGGGAGATCTTACTCGCAGCGTCTCCTCGCCGCCATGTTGCTCCGCCCCCTCTCTTCTTCTTTTTCTTTAGCCCCAGTTTATTTATTTATTTTTTTGACCCTCAGAGACTAACAACTAGGAAAAAAATCCTCTCCTGCATATTAAAGACCCATATTGCTCTTAGTACTTTAAAACAAAGATAAGATACTTCAAATGCCTTGGATCATAATAGCATTGCATAAATATAAATTGTCCTGGTATCGACTTCATCTTCCCCTGTCCACCCACTCCGATTATTGGTACTGGACAATATATTGACAAGGTCTTTTCCCCAAATACTCCAAACATTTTCCTTCTTCAAAAGAAAATGCCACTTCAGCTTGTATTCATGAGTTCTCAGCATTCTCTGCACACAGAGAAGGAAATCATCTTTATTTAAACACTAAGTGACTTGGCATTTATGGCAAACTTGATTTAAATAGTCTTTTTTATTCCTAATAGACTCTTTCCCTACAACAGAGATTGAAAACCACTCAAGAGCCCTTGATATAATTTGTGGTCTAAATTTCCACTATTTCTACAATATTTCTTTATTTCACTTTCCTTTTTCTGTGTTGTTTTTGTGTTATTTCTTCTTCTCACTTTTCTTCTGTCTATGCAGGCTCAGTGTTGACTTAAAAAATAAAAACCCAAGCAAACAAGAAAACAAACAAAATAACAGCAAGAAAACCTCTTTGCAAGTTTCCCCGGAACTTATTAAAAAAATTAAGAACTCAAGACTTTGTCCACAACCAGGTAAAATTAGAATTAAAAAAATTGTTAATACGATGCAAAAATAATGATAAATTAGTTATCATTAACAATTAAAAATTGATGATGAATCATCAAATACAATAACAACAATTTCAACAATTGCATTATTTCCTCATGTTGGACCTGAACGTGTATATATAAATGTGTAAGTACATGTTTTAACTTTGGCATTTAGTCTTATGTTCTTAGTGAATAAATCACAGTTTATATGCATTTTATATTTACAATGCTTTGTATATAGGCAATGCTTCATAAAAATTTCTGAAAGACTGAAGGCATGGTGTTTAATGGGACTTTTTGTGTCTCAAATTTAGGAAAACAGAAGCATATTTTATTAGAATCATTAATCATTAATAATAAGGACAATTCCTGAATCAATAGAGAAAAATGCTGTGTGGAGGGTCATTAAAAATCACAGAAGAAAAAACTGGCTTAGATAAATGCCGTCATCTGTGCTTTGGCTTTAAGATACATATCCTAGAAAAGAATAACTTAGGATCAGTCATACTCTCTGGTTTTTAACTATACACTAATGTTAATTACAAAATTACTTGCCATGACATCATATGATTCTCCATTTCTAAATACTTTGCTGTGGCTTTGAATTATTCCTTGAATGATTAATTCCTCCAGAATGTCTGATGACTTTTGTCGCTCTCGTGTCTCTAGGGGCTGGGATTTATGGATTAATCCATTGGTCACTAGGTCTTCCAAGGAAAAGAAAAAAGAAAGGGAAATATAAGCATGAAGATTTTATCAATCAAATGCTAAAGGAATGTCTTATAAATCATGCTACCAAATTAAATCTTAGTCTCAATCTTCTTACCTAAAGATCTGTTTCTACTATAAATCTTTGTAGTCCTTTGAAGTTCAAATTCTTAATGTTCTTACAGAGGTTACACATCAAAATAATGTCCTGTTTACTTAGCAGATTACATGTTAACATAACAAAAAGTCTTTTATGTGCTGCTATGTACAACTTTCTTGTTGTAAGGACACTTATACACTTGGGTACAACAGCATGGACTCTGCACTAATTATGAAGCTAAACCCCAGCTTGGAATGAGCTATTCTTTCAGTGACTCTCATGAGTTGCAAACAGTTTGGTTTCTATGCTTTGTATACAAAGGAAAAACAGCGTGATGTTGCCAAGAGACTTCTAGTTCTGCAACCTTGAGTTTACAATTGCGCCATCTGCTAAATTGACATAAATAAAAGTAGGTCTCATTGAAGAGTCTGAACCAAATCAAAAGTGGAATCTGGTGATATTGGCTACATTTTTTTTTAGCGATTTTAAAATGAGCACTGAAATAGTTTATAGGGGATTATAAACTGCACTGAGGAGAGAGACCCCACCCCCCACCCCCAGGGCCTTGGCAGTCAGGTATATAAAAAAACAAACAAGCAGTTGTTTCTGTTTCAGCACAGCAATGTACAATTCAGTCTTCAGAAATGAGCTATTTTCTATTTTGTAATCACTAGAAAGTCCTGACAGTATCGAAGTGCATTCCAGAGAGTGCATGGGGCCTTTTTATGACAATTTCTAACCTTGTTGCTTAACAGGGCAGTTTTCATGAATTTGTAGTGGGAAGATAGAAACACACACACACACACACACTCTAACCAGATGTCTCTCACTTTAGAATATGAGCCTTACTGTTTGAAGATATTCCTCTAACTGACCCTGCAAGTAACTTCAACAAATTCCCTTTATTTCATTTCCTTGCCAGTGCTGTCTTCTGCCCATGTAAGCGTTCGAAATAGAGCTAAAGCTCATTTTGAACTACTCTATACAATATTGGTACAGAGTAGTAACACATATCTTTCAGATAAATTAACTAGAAACTTGAAACAACGGGGGAAATTCAACAAAAAAATGGAGAGGTGACTCCTCTTCAAGGAATTAGAAAGATATTTGTGTTCGAAGGTGGGTTTGCAGGGTCACATAATAATAAGTACTGTTTCTTGAGCTCTGCTGTGCCTGGCACTATACTAAATATATTATATGTGACATCTAATTCAAACATAACATTTAACTAAAACATAAACTCTCTGAGAGGTATTATTATCCTTAAAGAGAAACTGATGTGAAAGAGGCTGATTAATTTGCTTAAGTTGAAATGGGTAGTAAATGAAGTAATAACGTTGGAAGCCAAGTCTATGTGACTTTGTTGTTTTTTTTTAAAGATTTATTTATATTTATTTATGCATACAAGAACTGGGCTGTAGGACAGAGGTGCAGGGGGTGAGAAGATTCACCAGACATAAAGTAGGGAGCAAAATAGGCAGACAGACCGAAAGCGCTGCTGAGGGAAGCAGCGGGTGAGGCAGGAGAGGTCTGCTGTGCATGTGGGTCAGCATCCTGGCCAGGGATTGAACTCAGGCCTCAGTGGCATGAATTAGCGTGATAACACTGAGACTTTAACCCCTGTGCTACCAGGGAGGCCCCAAGTCTATTTAATTTTAACATCCTGCCCTCTACCACCTCACTGCATTCCTTCTCAAATATGTCACATGACCAGCTTCCTCTGGATGTTTTTTTTTAAAAGTCATCATTGACATCTGTCCCTAACATAAAATTATTTTAACTAGTTCAAGCCATTCTTTTCTGAGAACACCAAAGTATTTAGCTTGACATTTCCACTAGCTAACTGCACAGAAAGACCAGATTATGTCAGTCATTTCAACTAATATTCATGATTTTTTGGCACATGGAAGAACATTGAGGGAATGTTTAAAAAAAAACATCGAGTTTCTTTCTGATTATAAAAGTAATACATGGTTTGGGCCTCCCCGGTGGTGCAGCGGTTGAGCGCTGGGTTGCGAAGCTGCCAGCAGCCTCTGCAGCACCGGTTCGATCCCCCGGCCTTCGGCAAGGCTCTCTTGCTGCACCCGCTGCTCCCCTCAGCAGTGTATTTCATCAGTCTGCCTGTTCTGTTCCCCACTCTGGCTCTGGTGAATTCTCTCACCCTCCTGCGCTTCTGACTTTACCCAGTGCTTGTATAAATAAATAAACAAATCTTTTTTTTAAAAAAAAGTAATACATGGTTTTTACAGTAAACTTGGAAATTTCAGAAAAGAGTAAAAAAGAAAAGAAAAATGCCCATACTCTTATCATTTGGAGATTACCACTGTTAGTATATAAAATTTGATTTTCATAAATTTGACATCATACTGAGCATACAGTTTTGATTCCTATGTACTTAACATTTACATTAACATTTGCTTGAGCTATTGGAAATCCCTTTGAAGCATATGTGTAAAGAATGACATCTAGAAGGAAATGTGGGTGAATTCATCTTTAACCTTCATGTAGGCAAAGGCTTTTTGATGTGACTCAACATCCAAATTCAAAAAAGTTTGATAAACTTGGCAAAGCAAAAAAAAAAAAAAAAGTCAAATATAGATATTACGTTCTTCCAGATTTGATGTACAAAGCAAGATGCAATATTATTTTTGGTATTCTTGCTAAAGACATATAGCCTCAGGATAGATCAGGGAGCCCCATATTGAGGAACATTCTACAAAATAAATGACTTAGCTCTCCAAGGTTATAAAAGACAAAGACAATCTGTAGGATTGCTCCAGACTAAAGGAGAGTAAAACCCCATAACAACTAAATTGAACAAGTGATCTTGGGTTAGATCTTCAACCAGAAATCTATAAAGGACATAAAATGAAAAAATCAGAAACTTAAATGTGGTCTGTAGATGAGATAATAGTACTGCATTAGTAATAACTTCCTGATTTTATTCTTATACTGGATTTGGAAAGAATGTCGTTCTTTTGGGGCCTTCCTCATGGCACAAGGGCTTAAGTCTCAGTGTTAACAAGCTATCTCCAGCCACTGTGGCCTGAGTTCGAGCCCCGGCCATGGAGCTACCCACATGGCACAGCAGACCTCACCTGTCTCGCCTGCTGCTCCCCTCAGCAGTGTATTTCAGTCAATCTGCCTGTTCTGTGCCCCACTCTGTCTCTGGTGAATCCTCTCACACGCACACCTCCACCACCTCTGGCCTCTGGCCTATACCTCAGCTCTTGTATGCATAAATAAATAAATAAAAACAAATCAAAAAAAAAAAAAAAAAGAAGGGCCTCCCCTGGTGGCGCAGCAGTTGAGCGCTGGGCTGCGAAGCTGCCCACAGCCTCTGCAGCGCCGGTTCAATCCCTGGCCACCAGTGAGGGTCCCACATGGTGTGCAGACCTCTCCTGCCGTGCCTGCTGCTCCCCTCAGCAGGGCACTTCGGTCCTTCTGCCTGTTCTGTTCCCCCGCTCTGGCTCTGGTGAATTCTCTCACCCTCCCATGCTTCTGACTGTACCCAGTGCTTATACAAAAATAAATAAATAAATCTTTAAAGAAAAAAAAAAAAGAAAAAAGAATGTCCTTTTGACCTATACAAAGAAAACTATAAAACACTGTTAAAAGAAATAGAAGAAGACACAAAGAAATGGAGAGACATCCCCTGCTCATGGATTGGAAGAATAAACATTATTAAAATGGCCATCCTTCCAAAAGCAATATACAGATTCAATGCTATTCCAATCAAAATTTCAATGTCATTCTTCAAAGAAATAGAAAAATTATTGATGAAATTCATATGGAATCACAAAAAACCCCGAATAGCCAAAGCTCTCCTGAAAAAAAAAGAAGGGAATGGAGGCATCAGACTCCCAGACTTCAAACTATACTACAAAGCCATAATCATCAAAACTGCATGGTATTGGAACAAGAACAGACATACAGACCAATGGAATCGAATAGAAAATCCAGAAATAAACCCACAGATTTATGGTCAACTAATCTTTGACAAAGGAGCAAAGACTATGCATTGGAGCAAAGAAAGTTTGTTCAATAAATGGTGCTGGGAAAACTGGGTCGCTACATGCAAAAGAATGAAGCTTGACCACCACCTCACACCATACACAAAAATCAACTCAAAATGGATTAAAGAACTAGACATAAGACCTGAAACCATAAAATATATAGAAGGAAATATAGGCGAAACACTACGTGATTTGCACATCAAAGACATCTTTACAGACACATCACCCAAAGCAGTGATAGTGAAGGCAAAGATAAACAGCTGGGACTATATCAAATTAAAGAGCTTTTGCACAGCAAAAGAGACAATAACAAAAACAAAGAGAAACCCCACCAACTGGGAGAACATTTTTGCACCCAACACTAATGATAAAGGACTGATCACAAAAATCTGCAAAGAGCTGATGAGACTCAACAACAACAAAGAAAATAATCCAGTCAAAAAATGGGCAGAAGAGCTTAAAAGAAACTTCTCTGAAGAGGAAATGCAAATGGCCAACAGGCATATGAAAAAATGTTCAACATCACTTGTCATCAGGGAAATGCAAATCAAAACTACCATGAGATACCATCTTACACCAGTGAGAATGGCACATATTAAAAAAACTAGCAACAACAAATGTTGGCGAGGGTGTGGAGAAAAAGGAACTCTTCTGTACTGTTGGTGGGAGTGCAAACTGGTCCAACCACTGTGGAAAGCTGTGTGGAGATTTCTGGACCTACTAAACATAGAGCTTCCATATGACCCAGCAATTCCACTCCTAGGTATTTACCCAAAGGACACAGAAACATCAATTCCAAAGAACACCTGCACCCCTATGTTTATAGCAGCACTGTTTACAATAGCTAAGCTTTGGAAACAACCCAAATGCCCAAAAATAGATGACTGGATCAAGGAGCTGTGGTACATATACACCATGGAATATTGCTCAGCATTCAAAAAAGATAAACACATGCAATTTGGTGCAACATGGATGGCGCTGGAAGGGATCATGCTCAGCGAAATAAGCCAAAAAGAAAAAGAAAAATACCGGATGGTCTCACTCATAGCAGGAATCTAGAAAACTTAAATAAGGGACCAGGAAAATGAAAAACTATAAGAAAGTGAAAATCAAAATCAACAAAAAACTATGAACCAGAGACACTTTTAGGGGGGCTGGGGCGGGAGGGGAGGGATTGGGGTCAGAATGGGGGGCGGCAATTGTATGGGGAATATAACAATAAAATTTATAAAAAAAAAAAAAAAAAAAAAAAAAAAAGAATGTCCTTTTTAGGAAATACATACTGGTATAGTTAGGAATTAAGTATGGTTATGTCTAAAACTTACTCTCTGAAAAAATATACTTATATATGGGGGGCAATATGCTAAAGCAAATGGGGTGTTAAGGTTAACATTTGTGAAAGAATAGAGGCATTCTTTGAGTGGGGGAACGTTTCTTAAATCTGAAAATCTTCACCATGAGAACTTTTCAAAAGGAAATACTTGGGAAATTTGAAATTTTTAACAAACATATGCTGCCGATGTAAAAACAGGGATGCAGAAAGGAGGCAGAGGGGAAAACTGGGACTAGAACAGAGCTCAGGGTACTCTGTGTTATTCATTCTGTGATAAGACAGTTCCTGAAAATGCATTCACACTACATTTGGGAAACATGGCCTCTGGCACTTTACTCCCTCCCCAGCTGGGCTTTCTTAGCACTCTCTTGCCTACCTTTAATGCTCTCAACTGGAAGGACACACCTAGGTCCATAGTATTAACACCAGGGCCTCCTTGGTAGTGCAGGGGTTAAAGACAGCACTATAAAGTTGCTGCCAATGCTGCCAAGCCCTGCAGCACGAGTTCAATCCCCGGCCAGCCAGGGAGCAACACACATGGCGCAGCAGACCTCTCCTGTCTCGCCCGCTGCTCCCCTCAGCAGCATATTTCAGTCAGTCTGCCTGTTCCGTGCCCCGCTCTGTCTCTGGTGAATCCTCTTATTCCCCCATCTCTGGCTTGTACCCCATTTCTTGTATGCATAAATAAATAAATCTTTGGAAAAAACCATAGTGTTAACACCAAAGATATTGTTCAAGTCTAAGTGTTATCAATATATGGGTGCTGCAGTCTGGGAGGGATCCCCAACAGAAATATCAGGGAGAATAAATTAATGTACTGATTGAACACACAGAGGGAGGATTTGCCCCTGCAAGGCATCTTACTTTCTGCTATTCCACGAGATGTAACATCCTCACTAAATCAGAATCTCAAATCATGGGCAAATAGGAAATTTGGGATAACCCGAGTGTGCCATGGAAATCCAAGGAAAGGAATGTCATTTATTAAACTATCTATTTTTCAATTTTAACTTGTATTTAGGGAAAGGACTAGAATGATGAGGAATGAAATGAAAGCTTTCTCCCCAAATAAGAGTACTTTTCCTTGAGTGCTGTTTAGTTCAATTTGTTTCAAAGGCTGGTAAAATATCAAGAACTCTTAAATCAATGCCTGGGAACTCAAGCAAAGCATAAACAAACCATAGGAAAAAACACCAATCGTTTCAGAAGAGCTCACCAGGTTATAATTGCTTTGTTTATGTTTTTGAAAGATTCTTTTAATGTATATTTGCTGATGCTTTGGATGGAGGGAGACAGGAGCCACAGACTGATGTAGGTTTTATTTATTTTCTCAAATAAATAAACATAAGCTGTTTCTCTGGGGAAAATGTTAACATATGGGAGTTTAAAGGAATTAAACCAAAGTCTGTTCAGTTCCTATTCCCAAGGCCTGATCTCAACCACCAGTGAGGGGTTAGTTTCTATGGGGAAAAAAAAAATTTTTTAAATACTTCATGGATAAGAAGATAAATGGTTAGAATTATTTACTCACATGATGTAGCCCTAAGGCTAAAGTCTAATGATTAGCGACCTTGCTCTTTAGGGTACTATCTGGCTCACAAAACTGTGAAAAATGGGTCACTAGACACTTAATATAAAATATATTTAGAGAACCAGTACTTAGTGGAGATCAGCACGAAGGGATTTTTACCTGAATTCACTTTTCCATTTCTTTCACTAGAACATGGAGAACTTTCTGGAATGGTTCCAGGCAAGCTTCCTAACTGGTCCTGTTTTCCCAGGCCTTCAGGGCTGCCCACGATGTCTCTGCTCAGGGCAGCTTCAGTTTGGGGTCTGCAATTCTCCCTGGAATGAGTCACGCCAGCATCAGCCTATGAAAGGAAAATAGTCTTGTGAATCAAGATTTCTTAGAAAATGTCTTTCTGGAAAACAAAAACCATGCTGTAAGATCTGTTTTATGAGTATGTAGCCCAAGCAGCATCTGTGGCACTATGACACTAAGGGTACTATGGCAGAAGGGACTTTGCAGATGTGATTAATTTAAGGACAGTGAAGCAGGGAGATAGTCCACGATTATCCAGATGGGTGCAAAGTCCTCACAAGGGGTCCTCACAAGAGCTGCATAAGCCATTTCCTTGTAACACCTTTCTCGCCTTGTTTGTTCTCTTGCCCTGCTCTCTATTCATTCACCTTATTGCTTATAATGTTTTGGTAGAACACTGATTAATAAAGAAATGCAGTAGAAAAAAGAAATACTATTCCTTAGGCCTCAACACTATTAACACCTTCCATGTTTGACTCCAGATGTGTTTGTGCATATAAATATTTTAAAGTACATTAAAATTGACCACTAATTACATGAAAAGAAGTTCACTACCATTAGGCATTGGATATGCTAATAAAACCACAATAAGCTCCCACTTCACACCTACTAGAAGGACTGTAGTGAATAGACACATCATAGGAACATACGCAAGGGCATAGAGAAATCAGGACGCACATATAATGTTGTCAGAGAGAAGAGTTGATGCAGTTACCTTGGCAAATAGTTTGAGAGTTCATCAAAGAGTTAAACATAGAGTTACCAGATGACCAAAAGTTCTATTCCAATGTATATACCCCAGCAAGATAAAAATATAGTCACGAAAACTCATCCATAAATGTTCATTATTATTCATAGCATCTAAAGAGTGGGAACAACCCAAATGTCCATCAACTGATACATGTATAAACTAAATGTGATATATCCCTACAGAGGAACATTATTCAGGAATAAAAAAGAATAAAGTACCAATAGATGTTGCAACATAGATGACACTTACAAACATTATACCGTGAAAAGTCACAAGGATCACTCCATTTGTATGAACTATTCCAAATGAACAAATTAATAGAAGAAAACATAGATTTAGTGTTTGCTTAGAAAGTAGGGGTTTGCTGCTAATGGAAGGTGGTTCTTTTAGGGAAGACACAAGTGTTCTAAAACTGGATAGTGATGATGACTGTGAAGTGTACATTTTAAATGGATGAGTCATGATAAGTGGGTTATATGTCAATAATGGCATTTACAAATAAAATCAGATTATATATTAAATGATAATCTAGTTCTGTTTTTTTCCATTAACAGTATTTACCTATACCAGTCCACAGAGGTCTATCATGCTATTTAATGGTAAGGAGGAGTTGTTTATTTGACTATTGTATTACAGTCCATTAAGTAATTATATCACTATTTATTTAGCCAATTCCTACTGGAATATATCTGGGTTGTTTTTAACTTTTCAATATAAAAAACAGTGCAGGCATAATAACCATGAATATATAATACCACAAATTCACCCAATTACTCCGAGAAACAATTCCTGGATGTGACACTCTGGGTCGAAAGACTTTCCTGTTTTGTATTCATAACTGTTTCTAAAGGGTCATCCATAAATCCCACTTTCTCCTTTTAAGGATGTTATATTTTTTTATACAACCTGACTCTACTGCTCATGGAGTTCAAAGTACACTCAACAGAGCCTATGTGTGATTTCACGACGACTGGCTCCAAATGCTGGTCCATGTCAAAGTTGTCAAAGTCCATGAGAAAAATGCAACAAGTTTTTCATAAAGCTAAGCTCAATTTCAAGAACTGGCATTTATGTTGGGGGGTGTTCAATAGGACTATGTTCAGAAAAACTATAACCTCCTTGACCCTTCTTCTGGCACTGGCTCTTCTTTCTTTCTTTCTTTTTAAGATTAATTTATTTATGCATATTTATTTATTTATGCAACTAGGGTACAGGCCAGAGGTGGGGGAAGGGAGTGAGAGGATTCACCAGAGACAGAGTAGGGAGCAGAACAGGCGGATCCACTGAAGTACACTGCTGAGGGAGTAGTGGGCGAGACAGGAGAGGTCTGCTGTGCCATGTGGGTAGCTCCCTGGCCGGGGATCAAATTCATGCTGCAGAGGCTGTGGATAGCTTTATAGTGCTGTGCTTAACCCCTTGCGCCACCAGGGAGGCCCCTGGCCCTTCTTCCATTGCTTGGGTTGCAACTTTCCCCCTTCTTATTGAATGGAAGCCAAGACTTCTAGTAGATTTATCAACCAACAGTTCCATCTAAGACACACTTACCAGAGGAAGCCGCCTCTGTGTACCTAAAAGAACATAAGCATCGATTACAGCGTATTATCTCCTGCCTTTTCTTTTTACATCTATTGATTTTATCTAAAGGGTGTCCTTTTCCCCGGAGTCTTCATAGGGCCTCAGAACTCAACTCTCCAAGCCTGATTTGTAGCACAACCCGTTTTATTGGCATGTTTGTATCTTGTTGGGGGCAGTGAGAGGAGTTTAAGAGGAGAAGATGCTTAAAATGGGTCTTCAGGAGGGAGTTTCTAGAGGGCATGGGGATGAGTTCATTCTAGATAAACACAAGCAGATACACGCAAGTAAGGGAAATGAAGCAATGTTACATGTCCAGGAACTTGACTTTTTTCTAGCGTAGTAAAAATGGATTGAGATAGAATGTGGTAAGTGCTGGAGAGGTGGGAAGGGAAGTCTTTTGTGACAATGCAATATAAAAACCTTTGTAAGGTTTGTATGCATGAAAGTAAAATAAAATGACCATGTGTTCTTTTTCTTTGTTTGTTTGTTTTGGTTTGTTTTGATGATCACTCTGGGGTTAGTACAAATGAAGGTACTGAAGGAACCACAGAACAAGGCAACCTGTGGATGGTTATTGGAATTGTCCGGATGAAATCTGGTTAAACATGAACCAGTACATTGGCAGGGAACATGGATGAAAGAGGTGGGTCCAGAAATATCAGGCAGGTACATTACAGACCTGTCAGAACTTCAATTTGAGCCCTTCTAGCTTCAATAGAGTTCTCCTAGCTCTAAACTATGACTCTAGGCACTAAACAGAAAACTTTCCTTTAGCAAAATAATATAAAATAGGACATTGATGTGAAAGTCTTGGTACTTGCACAATAAAAAAATCATTCAGGTTTTCAAAACCTAAACACATTTGACCACTTTCTGGAACCACGCCAGTTTGGAGTCTCTCAGAGACTAGGGAGAAATCACAACAGCTAGGTTACGTGGCCCCATCGCTGCCCATAATTCGATTAGAAATTCTTGCATCTTCTTAGGGAGACTCGCCTGGCTCCATATCACTGTGCTTATATAACAAGATCACTCCAGCTAAAGCTACATCAGTTCATTGTGCCGACAGTTAATTCATTCTGTGTGTCACTGACAATTAATTCACTCTGTGGCTCAGGACGACACAGGAAACTATGAAAATCAACCAACTGAACAAGCAAACAAGTAAGCAACAAAACCTCAATGAATGTGAAATGTGAATCAGCACGAGGAGAAAACCCAAGAGCAACTGTGTGCTTTTCCCTACTTTCTCCATTTGTCATTCTTCACAGAATGACATTCTTCCCAATAACCAGCCAAGCCAGGAAAAGATTCTTTACATATGATGTCAAATGTTCTTATATATCTATTTTTAAGGATTTATTTATTTATGCATACAAGAGCTGGGGTGTAGGCCAGAGGTGCAGGGTACGAGGATTCAGAGACAGAGTTGAGAGCAGAGCAGGTGGCTCTACCAAAATACACTGCTGAGGGGAGCAGCAGGTGAGACAGGAGAGTTCTGCTGCACCATGTGGGTCAGCTCCCTGGCAGGGGATCCAACTCATGCTGCAGTGGCTGCACTTAGCTTCATAGTGCTGAGACTTAACCCCTTGAGCCACCAGGGAGGTCCTGCTCTTATATTATTATGTAAAAATAATCATTGTGTCAGACAGGGTCTCCTCTTGCTGGGCTATATGTAACTATGAGTTCAAAGGAAAAAAGAGATGCTGTGTGATGTTGTTTTCAGAGGCTCCCAGTTGATGATGAAGGTGTTTAGAGGCTGTTCTTAGACTGAAAATGTTCAAATCTTCTCTCAGTTCGAACGTAGGCATTTTGTTTGTTGCAATTGTTAAGTCAGTTAAGTTTTTTCAGTTCTCCACTGTTCTTTCAGAGGCTCCCAGTTGATTCTGAAGGGGAAGATTGTGTTGGATATTCTCGTCTTTCCAAGTTAACTGTTAAAACCCAATATCTGCAGTGATAGTTTGATGGGTATTTTCATATATTTCTTTTGTTTTTCAGAGCTCTCATTTTTTGAAACTAGCAAAGCACTGAGTTATGCCTAAAGGCTAATTTTGCCATTAACAGTTCCCAGAACTGGAAGAAGTTAACTGACTTAACAACTGCAACAAACAAAATGCCTACATTTGAACTGAAAGATTTGAATATTTTCAGTCTAAAAATGCCTTTCCACGAAGGTTTTCTATCAACTACAACTCAGACTAGATTTCAATGGCACAACCCTGAATGACTTCCCCTTGGTTTCATCAAAGCTACTAATCCAGTCCTTAGCAAGGATCTTTATCCATTTATTCCTGTTCAGATACAGTGTGCCTTCAGGTCCTTGAGTGTCCAAAACTGAAATTGCAGCAGATGAAAACAACCTTTCAGCATAAAATAACATATTCCGGTCTTCACTTTCCAGAGGAGAAATTTAAGGCTTTTTCATTTTGAAAACAAAGAATGTCTTTTAAATGTGTTATCTACATGCAACACATTCTGGAAATTTTAACCCAATTTCATAATCTAGACTTGAGCATAAACATAGTTCAAAGACCAAATACATTTACAAATTAATTAGATCTATGCCTCTCAGGGCTGTGGCAAAACAGCTTTCTTGCTCGAGTTTGCATGCAGAGTAAATATTTCACAGGATTGGGAAGTCTGTGCTCGGTGGTACTGGAGGAGGGTAGGATGTAGCTGGAAGGGTGTTCTATGCTTGAGATAAAGTTGTAGCAGAACAGATTCAAAGTGTTTCTGCATTTCATATCAATTTTATTTTATATTTCATTGTCTTAGTGTTACAAAAATTTTAATCAATTTTAGAATTGAAAAACTATGAATTTTAAGCTTACAGCTATGTATGGGAATAATCAGCATTCCCAAAAAAAGGTATTCTTTTTAACTTAAACAAGTTTTTTTGTTTGTTTGTATTTTTGGTCTGGAGGCATCATCACGCTGTTTCCTAAAGCTTTTGGGAAACAAATTTGCCCAATAGCTTGAAGGAGGTGATTTGTCAAGGTACCCTAGGGCTGGGACCTCTTTAAATCAAATTATTGGCAGGTACATTTTATAAATATATTTGTTGACATATAAGAAGTATTTGTTTTTCAAAATTTAATTTCTTCTAGTTTACTTTTAATGACTAATAATAACGATCAACCATCAAAAAACACTGAGAAATATGATCTCTTAAAAAATTAAATTAAGAAGTAATTTAACAACAATAAACAAGAATTTTCCTGTCAATGATTAGGGCAATGCTGTGAAGGATCCTTAGGGATCATCTATTCCGATCTAGTCTCTTCCCTTTTAAAAAAAGTAGGAAACTTTGAGTCAATCACAAAGAAGGATAATATTTCCCAGCTAAGAAAAGTTCTACATTTTTTAATGCATTATTTTTATTATAGTAGCTTCCCACCACTTTAGACTAAGACAGAAGCAAAGAGACAGCCTGTGGGTAGGTTTCAAGAAGTTTGATTCTGAATATTTTAAAGTTGTGAGCTAAGAAACATCAATATTTCACACAAGCAAACATGTTCATCTCATTTTAAAGACACTGCTGAATTACTGAACTCTCAGTGCTATGCATTTATGAAGATAGCAAAAACACTGCTATCCTTATATAGAGTGTTTAATTAATAACCAAACCTTTCCCAGATCAGATTTCCAAAGTCAAGTGCTTGGTGTCGGAAAAGAGCTCTATGTGTGAGTAGACTCTTGAGCCTATTTTCAGGACATTTTAATATTGAATAACAAGACTGTCACTAGTCTTGTTATGTGACTTGGAGACAAGAAGACACTAAGGAGTTGGCGGAACTGGGAGGGACATGAAATCACTCAAGAAATATTCATTAGTGTCTGGTTGACACTGGGCACTGTAGTAAGCACCGGAGATACAAAGATTAAAAAAACAGTTCCTGTTCCCAAGAAAGTAACAGCTCAGGAGGAGAGGCAACCATGGAAACAAAGAAATTAGGTACATATTTATAATGTGGCTCAAGAAGAGGGAGACAAGTGGGCCCCTCTGGTGGCCTAGGGGTTAAGTCTCAGCATCATCATCCCTAAGACCTCAATTCTATCCCTGGCCAGGGAGCTAAGCCACATATGGCACAGCAGACCTCTCCTGTCTCGCCCGCTGCTCCCCTCAGCAGTGTATTTCAGTAGATCCTCCTGTTCTGCTCCCCGCTCTGTCTCTGGTGAGTCCTCTCACCAACCCCTCTACCCCCACACTTCTGGCCTATACCTCAATTCTTCTATGCAAAAAAATTTTAAAAAGAGAGAAGAGAAGCTCTGAAAGTGGGTGCAAAATCATGTAAGTAGAAACAGAATGAGTTTGGTTAACTAATTACAAGTTTTGACTGAAATATGTGAGTGTGTAGAAAGATGAGACTGGAGAATATGACAGGAATCAACTCAAAGATGGCTAATAAGACATGCTAAGGACTTAATATTTTATATTATAAATAACTTCCATAATAATAATTGAATTAACTATTTTTTTTAAAGATTTATTTATTTATACAAGCACTTGGTACAGTCAGAAGCGCGGGAAGGTGAGAGACTCCACCAGAGCCAGAGTGGGGAACAGAACAGGCAGAAGGACCAAAAGCACTGCTGAGGGGAGCAGTGGGCAAGTCAGGAGAGGTCTGCTTCGCCATGTGGGACCCTCGCCGGCTTCTGGGGATCGAACCAGCACTGCAGAGGCTGCTGTGCCATGTGGGAATCTCCCTGGCTGGGCCGGGAATCGAACCCTCGCTGCAGAGGCTGTGGACAGCTTCACAGCGCTGCGCTCAACCCGCTGCGCCACTAGGGGAGGCCAAATTAATGCATTTTTGGAAAAAGTGAATAAAAGTGTTCCTACATATTAGTCCAAAGTAATAATGAATAATAAAGATGACTAAAGTATTGGCAAGAAGTCCACATACCTAGGAGAGAGAGGCGCATTTCTTACTTGTCATGTGATAAGATGACAAAGGAGAGCCACAGCAGTGGGGTTTGGGCTAACCCTTTAATACCAAGGGAGCTCATCAGGCTGAGCGGGAGCTCATTGCACCCAGCAGCACGGGGAATGGCATGGGGCGTGAGGCGGCCTGGAGTAACTGAGCAGTGCACGTTCTTGGTTTGGCAGAGTGAGTACCAGGAGGGAGAGGAACAGCAGAGAGGGTGGCATTGGAGGATCAGCGAGGACACATGTAAAGGGCTCACTCCCAGAATTGTTTTTCTTAGGAATACAGATCGCAGTGTGGAAGGCAGACTGGCTAGGACGGCAATTAGAGAGGCAGAAAGACCCACGAAGAGGTAACAGGCCCCAGGGAGCAGGCAGCGGCAGTTGGGATAGAAAGAAGAAAGCAACTAAGACCGTGGACATCTGGACACAGGCTTCCCCTAAGGCACGGGGGACTGATCCCAGGTTTCGGCCTCGACCAACTTGGTGTTTGTGTTTTGATGTACTCCAAGAGTCCAGCAGATGGACCTCACACACAGTGGGTGCTGTGTAACTGCACTGAATAGTGTCTTGCACATGGGCTGCTGAGAAAAAGTATGAGCTCTTTAAGCCATAGTTCCAGAAATGCCCTTGAAGAAGGGTGACCGTAATCCTCTTTTGCTATGAGCAGTATGGACTAAAATCAGACTGGGCAAAATTATTAATAGTGTTCCCGTTCACTCTCAAAAGTATCCTCTTTTTTGGGCCTCCCTGGTGGCACAAGGGGTTAAGTCGCAACCTAGGAAGCTATTCACATCCACTGCAACACGAGTTCAATCCCCGGCCAGGGAGCTACCCACATGGTGCAGCAGACCTCTCCTGTCTCGCCCGCTGCTCCCCTCAGCAGTGTATTTTATCAGTCTGCCTGTTCTGCTCCCCACTCTGTCTCTGGTGAATCCTCTCAGCCTCTGCACCTCTGGCTGTACCCCGGTTCCTGTCTGCATAAATAATTTTTTTAAAGTATCCTCTTTTGATGATAAATCGTAGGGTAACTTTATCTGTGGGTGACCCCTCGTGAAGGGACCCCTGCAGGTCCTGTTTATGGCATCTTTTTGGTGGTGATGGTGTAAGAAACAATGCCCCCCCACTTCTTCTTTGAGCAACCTACCCCTCAATTCCCTTCAGGACCCCAGAGGAATTACAGGGGATGCAGCCTTGAGGGGTTCGTGCAAACAGCAGTGAAAAGCACATTTTGAAAATAAGATGCTGTATCTCCAGCACCGTCCCCGGACAAGCTGTGCATCCTCTGGCCCTACAAGAGTCTCCTGTGGGAGTTAAGAGGACCGAGGCAGATGGTTTCTGCCGTCTCTTCCAGATCGAAGTCGTTCCCCAAGGACCTACTTTGCGGAAACCAAAACCTGCTAACTCCCAGGAACACCCCTGAGCATCACCACCAGCCCCGGGCCCCGCGCACCCAACAAGCCGCTTATCCAGTTACTCCCTCCGGGAAGTTACCAGCCCTTGAGGCTCTTAAAACACAAACAGCCCCCAGGCTAGTCCTGCTGAGCTCGGGTGCGGACTGAGCCCGCCGACACCGGCTGGATCGGGTCATTCCCACCCCGCCCACCCCGCCCACCCCGCTGGCCGCGCGCTCCGACCCTGCGGGCGGGCCCCGGCTGCCCCCGAGCCTGGCGCGGAGAGGCCCAACTTTTATGCCTGCTGGAGTTGCTGGTTTTACCTTGAGGCCCTCTTCCCAGACCTTCTTGGGCGCGGGGACCCGTCTCTGCTCTCCAGCAGGCTGGGAAGGTCCGCAGCCCATGCTGCGCCCTGCGCGCGCCTCCTCCCGCGGGCCGTGGCCGCGCGCCCTGCTGCGCCCCGGAGCCCGGGAGCCCCCGGTCTGCGGCCCCGCGCCCCGGGCTGTGCACCCTGGTCCCGGCGCTCGGCACCTCTCTCTTCTCCCTCCTCCCGCACTGAAAGGCTCGGCAGGAGGCGCCCCGCACCTGGGCAGTTGCCGGGAACTGTTGCCACAATAAACGGCATCACGCGGACCTGGCACCTGCACCTGCACCTGGCACCTGGCACCTGGGAGGCGATGGGACTTTTGGAGCTGGAAACTGCAAGATCGGCGGCGTCTAAGTCACGACCGGGAGGCAAGTTGCGCACCTCTCCAGAGCTGAGAGAGGGGAGAGGCTGCTGGAGCCCAAGCTGGTTTTAAAAGGATGGAGGAACCAAATAAGAGATCAAGGGGTGGGGGTGGGGAGTAACTATATTAAAGTAAAAATCAAAATCAACAGGCAGATCTGTTGATCAGAGACGTTCTGTAGGGGAGGCGGGAGAGGGATCGGGTTGGGATTATGGTGACGGTGCACGGGTGACTTGGTGGTGGGAATGTCACGGGGAAATCATACATTGTACAGATATGAAGAATGATGTGATAAATATTAAAAATAAAAAAATGAAAGTCACCTTAGAGTCACCATAAAATAAATGTGGGACCTCCCTGGTGGCTCAAGGGGTTGAGATGTAACCTATGAAGCTGTCCACAGCCACTGCAGCATGAGTTCGATCCCCGGCCAGGGAGCTACCCACATGGCGCAGCAGACCTCTCCTGTCTCGCCTGCTGCTCCCCTCAGCAGTGTATTTCAGTCAGTCTACCTGTTCTGTTCCCCACTGTCTCTGGTGAATCCTCTCACCCCACCCCTATCTCTGGCATGTACCCTACTTCTTGTATGCATAAATAAATAAATCTTTTTTTAAAAAAGCAATCGGGCCTCCCCTGGTGGTACAGGTGGTTGAGCACCGCACTGTGAAGCTGTCCACAGCCTCTTCAGTGTGGGTTCAATCCCAGCCAGCTGAGGGGGTCCCACATGACAAAGCAGACCTCTCCTGTCTCGCCTGCTGCTCCCCTCAGCAGTGTATTTCAGTCAGTCTGCCTGTTCTGCTACCTGCTCTGTGTCTGGTGAATCCTCTCACCCCCTGCACATCTGACCTGTACCCCAGTTCTTGCAAGCATGAATAAATAAATCTTTAAAAACAAAAGTGTTTTTCTCAAAAAAAAAAAGAAAAAAAAGGATGGTTGTCCTAAGCACCCTGCAGGGACGTATTTTTTTCCCGTAGGCGCCGAGAGACAAGCCCACCCGGTGTCTGGGCCCAGCACTAAAGTGGTTGGCGTCTGTGCTTCAGACTCTTGTGGGGACTGTGTCCAAGGCGATCGTGAGAAGGCGACTTGGGAGTCAGACCAGCGGAAGCAGCTCCCGAGGGGACAGGTGGTCAGTGGGGGCGGCCCAGACAGCACCAGACGGCCACGTCACAGGGCGACCTCGGAGAGAACAATCTCCCAAACACAAGCCCACACTATGAAGAAAACCAGACTCTCAGGATCATCAACAGCTCAGCAGCTGCGAAATGGGTGGCGCAAATCATTTTTATGAAAGATGCATTTTAGGAGCTGTCACACCGTAAGGAGAGCAGGGGTATGCAAATTTCTCTCAGAGAATTAAATTAAAGCTATCAAAAAAAAAAAAAAAGGCAGATCCGGTAGACTGCTTAAATGTTGTCTTATCCAGATTTCCTCCCTTTTTTGTTTTTAAAGATTTATTTATTCACGCATGCAAGAACTGGGGTACAGGTCAGATGTGCAGGAGGGTGAGAGGATTCACCAGAGACAGAGTGGGGAGCAGAACAGGCAGACTGACTGAAATACACTGCTGAGGGGAGCAGTGGGTGAGACAGGAGAGGTCTGCCGTGCCATGCGGGTATCTCCCTGGCGGGCCTGGCTCAAACTCATGCTGCAGAGGCTGTGGATGGCTTCACAGCTCTGCGCTCAACCGCCTGCGCCACCAGGAGAGGCCCAGATTTCCTCCCTTTTAATTCCATTTTTCAATTAATGTTTTGGTGGGGGCTATTCAGTGCCTCCGTGGTGGGTGTGGTGTGGTAATATCCATCTGAAGAAGTGTGAACCTGTACCTCTGCATCACATACAGCAGTGTAAACCAATGTTCCCTCAATACAAAAAAAAAAAAAAAAAAAGAAAAGCGCTGAAAGGTAGTTAGGGATCATTCCACCAGCCTCTAATTTTATAGGCTGCAAACTGAGGCTCAGAGGGTGAAGTGGCTTAAATGGGAGGAGGATGGGTAATTAATGAGGAATCTGAGGTAAGGAGCCACGTGGTCTCACTCAGTCCCTCCATGTACCCATGACACCAGGAAAATACTAGTAAAGCTTCTTGGAAATGTAAAAAGTCTGGATCCTTCTACGGAAATGAGTGGTCAGTTCTGACATAAGAAGCTGGTTGTTTATAGTATTTCAGCTCATATCTCTCTCTTCTTCGTGCTTGGAGGATGTTGCCTGTCAATTTTCCTTTTACTAAAACTGAAGAAGGGGGAAAATGAAATGAGACTCAAGTCAAAGCATAATCACTGAACAAGTAGCATTCAAATTTGTGAATGAAGCATGGAAACAAGGCTAAAATGGTGTTTTGGGAACCTCCCTGATGGTATTAACTCGTAGGTGTAATAAGCCTCATGAAATGTTCCGACTAGAAACTGGAAAATTCCCAACTAAAATAATTCAACACAGAGGTCACCTATAAAATATTCTTGAGGGTGTTCAAGGAAAGTGTGGAGGATGAACTGTAAGCGTGGAATACTGCAGATAAAACTTTTTCCTTTCAGGGCAACCTGCCAACAGAGGTTTGCTAGGTGAGTATGTGAATGCGTGAGGTTGTACCCAAATGCGTTGTGCAGGTAGCTTTTGAAGCATTTGATGAGGATAGTGCAGAGTTGTGAAAATACCCATTTTCTAGGGATGCACTGGAGCCTGCTCGTCCCTTCTCGTGAGAGCTGATTGTCGGGACTATGTGGGCTTATTGTTAAATGCAGTCATTATTAAAAATTAAATTGCATAAACTTACAACTCAGTTGGTTTTATTAAAAACAAAGGTAATAGGACCTCCCTGGTGGCGCAAGGGGTTAAGGCACAACCTATGAAGCTATGCGCAGCCACTGCAGCACCAGTTCAATCCCTGGCCAGAGAGCTACCCACATGGCACAGCAGACCTCTCCTGACTCACCCGCTGCTCACTTCAGCAGTGTATTTCCATCGATCTGCCTGTTCTGTTCCCCACTCTGTCTCTGGTGACTTCTTTCACCCCCCACACCTCTGGCCTGTACCCCATTTCTTGTATGCATAAATAAATAAATCTTTTGAAAAAACAAAGGTAATAAATACAACTCTTCAGCTCCTAGTTATATTATTACAATGTACTGGTCATGTGCCTTTGAGCTCATTTCCATCTGCTGTATCTGGATTGTAGAACCCTCTTCTAGTGCCACTGTGTATTTTTCCCCAGTTCCATTTTCAGAAATATCACATTGGTAGCTTGAGGTCAACCAAGGTGGGGATCTGTCCACTAGGAAAATAGATTATACAAATCACTCTCCCACTTTCCACCCTGTTGCCACTGCTAGATATTGAACATCTATCAGTACAACACCACCATTTTTTGTCCTTATATTCTAGAATGTCATGTCATGGCTCTGCTCTTTCTACCCTTGCCTCTGCAGAGAAGGGGCCTGGGTCATCCCATCGGTTCTATCTCCCTCCATGCTAGAGCTGGGGCGCTGTCTAAAGATGTAGGCTGAGTCCTTCACTACCACGTTCTGGTTTTGTAGAACTTGTTTCTACCTTGAAGACTCTTAGAGGAGAAAACTCTCTGATGGTTACCAAAGCTGGACCATCACTTGTTCATTTTAAAGTTTCGCTACTGTCTTTGATTTCTCTCTTTAGCTTTGAATAATCAAAGAGACTCAATTCTCCACTTCCTTCTAATATTTATTTAAACCCAAGAGTTATCCTGATTTTTTTTCTCTTAAGCAATGGGGATATTGCAAGGAAAGGTGCTTCTCCAAGCACATCCCAGAAATTGTGTTAAAATGCTGATTCTGGTGGGCGCAAAGGGTGAAAAGGGGCGGTGGTCCATGGTGAAGGCAATTGGTGCTTTGATGGTGGCCATGGTGTGGTAACATACACCTCAGTGGGGTGAACCTGTACCCCTATATTGTATACAATGTTGTTAACCAACACTGGTCTTTATGCCTTTCTGCATAAAATTGTAACTGGAGCCTGAGTGCTAAGCCAGCTTTTTATCCTTCTTCCCTCTTGGAGTAGGGATTTTTGTGAGCTAGTGGGTAAAGGTGAAGAAGTAAATAAAATCATTACTAGCTTTACCCAAGTTCTGGAGTTGGGTTTTTAAAGATTTATTTATTTATTTATACAAGCACTGGGTACAGTCAGACGCACAGGAGGGTGAGAGAATTCACCAGAGCCAGAGCAGGGAACAGAACAGGCAGACTGATGCAGTACACTGCTGAGGGGAGCAGTGGGCGGCAGGAGAGGTCTGTGCGCCATGTGGGACACTCGCTGGCCACCGGGGATCGAACTGGCACTGCAGAGGCTGCTGGCAGCTTCGCAACCCAGTGCTCAACTGCTGCGCCACCAGGGGAGGCCCAGGAGTTGGGTTTTTAATCTCTCTGTTCTGATAGTTACTCTTCAGGGTTCGCTGGTAAAGCCAGACAGGGGAGATTCTCTGTAGTACTTGGCAGCCATATACAGAGGTTGGGGTCCAGTACCAGCAGCTGGGAGGTTTCAGATTTCACCCTGAAACTCTTCAGTTCAGACCCTGACCATTCCCAAGAAGTCACACAGAGAAATCAATTCGGCTCCCAACATCAAATCTGCTGTTTACTAACATTGTCCCATGAATAAAAAAATTATATGCTGACCTTCAGTCCCAAACGTGTCTTAACTAACAAACTGGGA